CCCAGACCTGCTTCCATCTCAGTAATTTTTCATGTGATTTTTGTCTGACTTTGCTAGGACATGCTTGGGGATTTGTTTACTCCCGTGGAAACACCAGAAGCCCAAAACAGAGGCTTTCTTAAAGGGCTTTTTGGAGGAAGTGGACAAGCTTTCGACAGAGAGGAGCTTTGTAAGTGGTTTTTCTTTTTCTTCCATGAATTAATACGTGTGATTGCCTGCCCTTGTCATCTAGGACACACAGAAGATTTGTTTTAATGACAAAAAAGAGAAAAAGAGGACAGTGTGAAGAAAGGGCAGACTTCTCAGTTGCCCTATCTGTGACCTATCTGTGATTCCTTCATGGCAGCAACTTCCTTTGACAAATAGAAGGGCTGGGGGTATGGCTACATTGCAGATGTGAAAGAACAGAGAGCAAAATCCACCACATGTGCCATTGCAGTAAGGTGGCATCGAGGACCACAGCCTCTCACTGCCCTCTGTTTGTATTTCTCCTTTGCAGTTGGTGAGGCCACGGCAGGAAAAGCCTCTCGCAGTCTCGCCCAGCACATCCCTGGATCAGGTGGAATTGAAGGTGTGAGAGGAGCTGCAGGAGGAGTCATTGGGGACTTGACTCGCGCTCGTATTGCTCTTGATGAGAGAGGACAGAAACTGGGAGAGCTGGATGAAAGGACCGCGAGCATGATGGCCAGTGCAGAGGCATTTTCCAAACATGCACATGAGGTAAGAGCACTCAGAACTAAATCACACACTTAGAACTAAAGATCACCAAACCTGCAGCTGAGCCTTTGCTTCCCTTCTGGAAGGTCAAGTGCTGTTCTCCTCATTCACACAGTCATGTTGTTTGAGGTGTGCTCACATTAACTTGCATGCCGTTTTTCCTTCCCCTGCCTCCACACAATGGAAAATCTCCAAAGAGACTTCCACTGCACAACTCTTTCTCTCATGTTTCCATAATTTAGAACAGGGTACTTCTCATCTCGTGCTTTTTTCACTAATCCATTCTGACTGGTCTTTGTTTTTTTTAAGCCACTTGGTCCAGCAGATCTATGCAGTAGGGCAGAATACAGGTAGGTGGCTGTGTACATAGTGGCATTTACAGATCTTACTAGGAAATGAGGAGGAACCCTATGGTACAGTGCTGTGATACAGTTGTAAAGAATAGGGCTGGCTGGGATAGACGGCTTCTGTGCTTAGAGTCAGAAATAATAGAGTCAGAAAGCTCTTCCAGCCCTAGGCTGGGAATCAATTAATGATTTTTTTTTTTTTAATTTATGATAAAACAAGGTTAAAGAATACTCCCCCAAGATGCATGTTTTTCAGTTAATTGTACAGCTGGTTGAATGTGCATTAAATCTCTGGGCAAGACCTTTATATTCTTATTAGCTTTCATGTGTGCGAGGCAAAAATACTCAGAAGAAACTTGTCTGAAATGCGAAAAGAATTTATTCAGGGCAACTCTACCATGCTATACATGTATGAACTTCTTCAAAAACTGAAGTGATAAAATAGTTAAATCTCCTCAGGAGGAATCTTTTAATGAACAGAAGTAACAGGTAAGTCATTGCTTTTTAAAAAGCATTTGGTAATTACAAAATTAAATAAATAAATAAAACCAAGATTTCAGTGAAATCAAGACTTGGCAACAGTGTGGGCAAGAAGAAATGGCAGTGAGGTACTTCACTACTTCTGAAGTTTGTGACGCCCTTTTCTTTTTTCCCCCATTTCTGTAGGTGATGCTGAAATACAAGGACAAAAAATGGTACCAGTTTTAAACTTCTAAAGAATCTGCTTGTGGCTTTGTTCAGAACACTGCTGAGGGAAGCAACGTTCATTCCCAAATCTATCAGTCATCAGCCAGAAACAATTTTTTCTCCTAGAAGATGTTTTCCTCTTACTGTGTTGGAATCATCGCAGTGGGCGTCAAAGAAATCTTCCAGAACATGAGTTGGAAACTGGAGTCATGGGGGCTTTTATGGCAGCAACTGGTTTATGCAGTAGCCAGTCTTTCCCAAAAGGAACTCAACCATCACTGTGGCATGTAGCTTTTCAGAAGCTGTAGGTATGAACTGTGGGGAGCCGTGTCTGATTAAAAATACTCTGTAAAAACTCGAATGTTAATGCACTTAGAAAACTTTGCATGGTTAATTGACATCTTGAAGAAAAAAAAAAAAAAAAGGAAAAAAAAAAAAAAAAGAAAAAAAAAAAAAAAAAGCATGTTGTGACCGAAAAAAAATGGGATTAATTTATATTGAGCAAAAAAAAAAAAAACCTTAAATGGCAAAAATCTGTATTTTTTAAAAATGAGACTACAAAAAGCCAGTACATTTCAAGCATGTTTGCTACTGTTCTCAACATAAAAATGAGTTGAGCTGCATTTTCTTATCTGCTACTCATTTCCCTTGAAAAACCTTGCTTGAAATCAGTGCTGTTTAACTCCTTCCGGAAGAATAAATAATTTCAAAAGCCCATGTCCAAATTTTACAGATTTTTCAAGTAGCTAAACAGGCACTATCTGAAATGTCATTAAAACATGAGAGCAGATGAATTTTGCAATTCAGAGTACGTGAAATGTTGCCCTTATCTGTACTTTTAAAAATGGGCCCTAGGTTTATCTCGGTAGTCCTTGAAGGCGTCTGTGGCATTTGTCATCCCTGTGGTTTCTCTGTCACTTGGTTGCCTTACTTCTCTGTTGCAGGAATAGAAAACAAACTGAAAAGAATCTCCTCTTGAAGTTAGAGAGGGCAAAAAGGGAAACCACTGGGAGAGTCCCATCAGTTTTCACTCACAAGCTGCTCAACAGCTTGCCAAACAATGAGTTTTTTCTTAAGTGGTTGGTTGAAGTTATGCTGAGGAAACTGCACAGTAACCCCATAAAGCTAGTGGAGAGAGCTCCCAGCAGCAAGTCCTCGAGGTGGGCCGCAGGAAGAGCATGAAAAACAATTGTTATGATATGTCACTGAATTGGCACATACAGAAAATGACACCACAGCTGTGTGGCTGTTGATCCTCTGCTCGCACCACAAAGTAATTTGCTTCTCCTTCCGAGTGGCTTGTTTGGTTTCTGCAGTGGACTCTGCAATACTTTCCAGTCTGCAGAGACAGAAGAGAACAGTAAGTAGAACCCATCACTTATTTATACAGATGGGTTTTGAGTTTATAGATACAGTACAGTGCCACACAGATGAACTGTTCACTTAGAAATTGTTCCAAGATTGCCTTGGAACCAAGGCTCTGAAGGCTTCTTTTCATGTACCTGGACAGAGCTCCAAATTAGAAAAGGAAAGATAGGAAAAGGTAGAAGAGCAGCAGGTGGAAAATTCTAAAATTTTCTATATAAGAGAAATGGAAGATGTTCCTTCAGGGAGTCCTGGCTGACACTGATGCAAACAGACAGCATTGCCATCATAGCTAGAGCTTAACTTCACTAGATTTCTATCATACCCATGCTCAGATTATCTGTCTCAAAGATGCCTTTCCTCTATATTTTGCTTTCTTAAAATAAAACAAAATAGTACAGGCTAGAAATCTGGCTTTGCACAGGCTAGAAATCTGGCTTTCATCCCAGCTGCACAAGCTAAAGGGATGGAACAGATCTGACATGTGAAGTTTTAAATTCATCCTGGAGCACAAGAGTTGTATGCTTTACAGCACTTTTATGTTTCTCTGGGGGCAAAATCAAAAGAAGAAGCCTGACTGGTCTGGCTGCTTTGGGAAGGAGACCGGACAGCTTCTTCTCTGTTACAGGAACAACTGAACTGTAATTGTGAGAACAGTAGAATCTTGGTTGCAAAAGGGTCAAAGGCCAACTGATGCCTGTGGTTCTGCTGAGAGTTAAGGAACTGAAATTGTGCGTGACCCAGAGGAGGTCTGTGCATTAAGTGTCTGAGGAAAGAGCAAACTCCCTGCTCTGATGCCAGTATGAACTGGGCTGGGGAGATCCTTGCAGTGTCCCCATCACAGAGCTGGCTGCTCCCCTGTGAGAAGTATCACTGTAACCAGGCATCTGGAGTGAGGAAACAGCTACACTACTACAGTCAAACTGCTTGTGCAGTAGCCTGTATCACTACTTAGGCTCTGGGCAACAAAGCCTTTTTGTGCAAATTGTTCAGACCCCTCCAGCCAACCTTATACACTTAATTCTTTTGCTCTTCTCTGCTCTTATGGAGAAGTTGAGGAGTCTGCATCAGTATCAGCATACCAATCAGAGAGGGTTCTGTACCCATTCCTACAATTACTTATGCCCTAAGATGGTGCAAATGAAAAGGCCTCTGCCAGTTCAAGCATGGCGCCATGTTTTCCACTGTACTTAGTAGTGGAATTTATTAAATATTTATTTACTAGTTAGTTTCCACTATTAATTGGTGTAATTGGACCTTAAGAAATGAGCCAGGTGAATGCAGGCACACTGTGGCACACTGACATGACACGGCAGCGAGCAGTGCTGCATGAGCTTCCTGTACGCTGCACCTCGTGTGGGTGCTCACAGTGCAAAGCTCCCCTCAGCTTTGATGTCAGCAGTCCCTCCAGGCTGGAGCAGGACCCTGCTCGCTTGTTGGAGAACCTAGTGTGAAAATTGGATAATGACCTTTAACTGCTAATCACCACAGTATGCCCAGAGGAAAAAAAGTAAGTATCTTCAGCAAGTCATGTGTGCAGTGTCAGACTCACTGGGACAGCCAGCCACTCTCTGTCTTAACAGCAGGGAAAAACCTGCCCGTAGATTTCCATCTGATGCAACAGAAGAATTAGGATTCAGCATCCCGTAAACTTACAGTTTTTAATAAAAAGTTCCAAGCAGCTTTTCTCCAGTACTCCCCATTGGGTCACAGCTGTATCTCGCTTTCCACTCTACGTATTTTCAGTATTTCCAGACAGTTACAGATCCCTATTTCTGTTACGTTTGCCACTCGTGACTATAATTATCAATTTTCTTGTAGGCTGTAGAGATCTAAAAAGTTGTATATGTTTGTATATAGAACATTCTATATATAAAATATATATATGTAATGTATATGTTGTATAAGTTTGGTAGTGCACACTGTTAAATGCTTTCTTTTGAGATTTATCATGTATGTGAAAAAAAACTTCACTTAAAAACGTCAATGAGGGAGGAAGAGCTCTTGCCTGGTTATTTATGCTGTCCCTGTGCGTTGAAGTCACACGCTTTCAGCGTTCCACTAAGAGCACCACCTACAGCCCGAGGCATCTCCAGCAGTGTAATCCTCAATTACAACAGACCCGAATGCCTGGAAACATTTGTTCCATGTAAAATGCTTCTGTTCACCTGAATGCCCTTCTCACTCCCAGTCTTCTTTACAGGAGTGCCCTCTCACAACCACGTCCCCAGCCCCAATGCACCCAACAGCAGCACCTGTATGTCTGGGTTTGGGCCAGTTGTGTTCACCTGTATTCATAGGGATGTGTATAGACTGAATATGCAGAGAAAATACATAAAATCAGATTATTAGATTATCAGATTATCAGATTGTATGTATCAGAGTAGGCAAGTCTCTGGTGAAACACAGGCTATTTGTTAAAAAAAAAATAATCCATTCAGTGGAGTGCTAATTTAAGCTTCAAATGCTGAGTGAAGACGAGCTGAAGGAAGAAGTTGGGTTTTGCTTTGAATAATTACTGTTTTCTAAATGTTTTTTTTTTTCCCCACAGTTCTCCATTCCTCTGTTTACATCCATTAAACATCCCCTTTATTACCACTATAGCTTCCTACATGAATGGTTAAATTCTCTATGTGCTGCACGTTGTATAAAATTACCACATATAGAAATCCTCTAAAAGTTTACAAAGCCCTTTTACAAAAGCCATTTTACAGTAGGAACAGTACGTACAAAAATAAGTTTTTTTCAAGATAAAAGTGAAGAAAATGCTGCAGCTTAGATCAAAGCTGTGTTACACCTCAGGGCTCCTCCATTTATGAACTGGGTGCATTGTAACAGAAGCAAAAAGCCCAAGTTCGTTTAGCTACACCGCTGGCGTATCGTTTTCCATAACCTCAAGGTGAATTCAAGCACAGACTATTTCAGTGTGGAATGGTTTATTGCCTTGGCGTGGGCTCGGTGTGAACACACTCTCTCTCATTAAGGAGCCACATGTGGCCATTTGGAGTCTGCACTTCATCTCGGTGTGAGCGATAGGCACGTAAATCTGTGTTTCCATTCATGTGTTCTGTTCTGTGATTAAATCAGCAGCTCAAACGTTGTACTTTTTTAGATAGCAGCCAGTGCTCAGATTTGGTGTCATTTCGGTGGACAGAGTCTGTGTGGCTTTAACAGTCATCGCTTCCATTGCAGGAGGGCAGTGCTGGGGTGAGCCACACACGCTGAGCTAAGCCCATCCTGTTCCCACGGGTATCCCAGGGCAGCTCCACAATAGGAAACCTACAGCAGCTTTAACTGAAGCTGTTCTGAGTTCCCAATTTAGGAGGAAAAAAGAGGGAAAGAAAATAAAGAATTGCTAAAAAAACTAGTTGGTGTAGATCGCCTTTTTTTTTTTTCAATGTGTACTCCTATCTTATTTGCAGCAGTTCAAAAGGCAAGGGGCTTGTGCAGAACATTTGGATGGAGTTTACACTGCTCACTTAGGAACACAGAAAATCCTGTGGCACCTGTTGCTGAGACTGGGATGCTCAAATCCCTTCCTCTGACAGCAAAAATGGAGTCACAGCCTGAATGCAGGCAATGCTCCTGTGCTTTACAAGTTGCTATAACACCCATCCCTGGGAGTATTAGCCCCACTTACGGACTTCTCAGCTGAGTGCCCTTCATGTCAATTCCACCACGGGGCAAGAACAGTCCCATACAGGCTGACCTCTCAGCAGTGCAGAAGCATGCTTGTTTAATTGCCAGCAATATGATTCACTTGCTCTGCCAGGAACACCACACTTTCATTCTAGTTCACCTTCCATATTCTAGCTACAGATTTAGAGGACAAAATGGTAAGAAAAACCGTGCAAGTCTCAATAAAATGAGAGAAGAAGAGGAGAAAAGCAAAAGGACTGAACCAGTTCAGAGCATATGCTAGCTTTTGTCATCTGTCTGTCTTTTTCTGCTGCCCTGTACAGGAGTGTGCAGCGCTCTTTTAGTAGGCAGTGCTACCAAGGAGAGCTTTGTCAAAACAAGCAGGACTAAACAAGGTTGCTGTATGCATA